GTGGCCGCCTAGCGGAGCTCAGGTCTAGAGGGAGGGATTCAGGCCCGAATGAAATTAGCCCTCACCCAGTGGTTCCATTGCCACAGAGATGCTCCTCTGGCCCCCCCAGGAGCTGGGGTGGGCCAGGTGGTGGCCGGACATGGGCTCAGGCTGGAGGACTCCGGGAAGCCAGGGTGGGGCCTGCAGGCTCCAGGACCCTTGTTTTCTAACCTGCGTGGGTCCATGGGGTGGGGCTGGGGGGCCTGGGAAAGGCCAGGCCAGGGGGCTTTGGAGGCGGGGGGCTGAGTGACCCGCTGCTGACTTTTGTCTCCCCCTCCCTTTTTTCTCCCTGCTTCCCCTCCCGCCTTATTCCTCCCTACCCCTCCCCTCCTCGCTCTCCCTTTCCCATCAATCCGCTCCCTGTACCCGGTCCTGTCTCCATCTCCTGTCCCTTCCCCATTTCCTGTGGCGGGGTCCCTACCTCCTCTCCCGCTCCCCGCGTCCCTCCCGTTTCCCTGCCCGCAGCGGTGCAGCGCGGCCGCATCCCCCATTCGCTGCCCGGCGCCGTGGCCGCCGCCTCGGGCAGCCCCCCGGGCTCGGCGCTGGCGGCCGCGAGCGGCGACCTCTTCCCCGGGCAGCCGGTGTCCGAGCTGATCGCGCAGCTGCTGCGCGCCGAGCCCTACCCCGCGGCGGCCGGGCGCTTCGGCGCGGGGGGCGGCGCGGCGGGCGCCGTGCTGGGCATCGACAACGTGTGCGAGCTGGCGGCGCGGCTGCTCTTCAGCACGGTGGAGTGGGCGCGCCACGCGCCCTTCTTCCCGGAGCTGCCGGTGGCCGACCAGGTGGCGCTGCTGCGCCTCAGCTGGAGCGAGCTGTTCGTGCTGAACGCGGCGCAGGCGGCGCTGCCCCTGCACACGGCGCCGCTGCTGGCCGCTGCGGGACTGCACGCCGCGCCCATGGCCGCGGAGCGCGCCGTGGCCTTCATGGACCAGGTGCGCGCCTTCCAGGAGCAGGTGGACAAGCTGGGCCGCCTGCAGGTGGACTCGGCTGAGTACGGCTGCCTCAAGGCCATCGCGCTCTTCACGCCAGGTGTGTGCCGGAGAGGGCGGCGCGGGCGGGACGGACCCGGGGTGCTGGGAGGGACCCGGACGCCCTGCATGCACGACGGCGCTGATGCAGAAAGAGTGACACCTTGACGCCCCTACTGCCCACCCCAGGACTCCCCGGGACTCCGGTCCCCGGGGTTTCTCTCCCTGGCTCCCAAGCTGAGACCCCCCACCCGCTCATCCAAGTGCCCTTCGCGCTCAGGGAACACTGCTAGCACAGAGGGGCGGGGACGCGGAGAGGATGTCCCTGACACCCGGCTCTGGCTCCCCTTAGCCCTCCAGTGGCTAATTCCTGACCCCAGACCTCTGATCCAGGGCCCCAGGGCAACCCTTAGGTGGCCTGCCTGTGGGGGATTGTCGTGGGGGCGTGGCTTGAGGCCCCTCCCACCGAGGGGCGGGGCCGTCACCTTAGTAACCATCTAGCCGTGAGGGGCGCTACCGCCGTATTCCAGCAACTGGCAGCGCAGGTGACTTTGCACTTTGGGCAAGCGTCTCCCCAGCCTGTCCCCTGAGGGTTCCTTCGCCCACTGGAAAGGCTCCAGAACCCACCAGATGTGTCCTTCGGGCCAGGCATGTAGGAATCAGACTCGGAGAGGTGGTCATTTGATAAATACGGCCGTGCCACTCTTCTATTCCCAGACTTCTTCTCTGCCTCCAACCTTCATGAGTCCCTCTTTAGACCTTTCACATTCTCTCACCCCGCCCAGGTCCCCCCGGGCTTTGGGCTGTGCCATCCTCCCCAAATCCCCTCCCAGCCCCACCTTCCTCATGAACTTCATTAGAACTCATCTTCCTGCCGAAGGCTTCAGCGGAGGGCTCCAACTGCCCTTGAAACGTCGCTGTCTGCCTGCAGCCCTGTGTCACTGTTGTCACAGGATGGACTGTCCTTAGACCCCCATTTGTGTCCCAGGGTCCCATATTCCCCCTCCTGGGGGGCCTCGATCCTTACCCCCATCCCTGAGTGGTGTCGCCTCTGTGGGCCCTGTGTCCTCTTGACACCTCCCACCCTCATCCGACTCACCCTTGTTCCTTCCCCCCAGATGCCTGCGGCCTCTCGGACCCGGCCCACGTGGAGAGTCTGCAGGAGAAGGCGCAGGTGGCCCTCACCGAGTACGTGCGGGCCCAGTACCCATCCCAGCCGCAGCGCTTCGGGCGCCTGCTGCTTCGGCTCCCCGCCCTGCGTGCTGTCCCTGCTTCCCTCATATCCCAGCTGTTCTTCATGCGCCTGGTGGGCAAGACCCCCATCGAGACGCTGATCCGAGACATGCTGCTGTCCGGAAGTACCTTCAACTGGCCCTACGGTTCAGGCCAGTGACTGCGATGGGGCCGGTGTGCCGTGGTCAGGTCTGCAGACCTCAAGGGACAGGGAGGCTGAGGCTTTGAGGAGCCTCCCGGGGCAGAGGACCCTGGCTTCTCTCCTCAGACTCCTATTTTTAAAGACTGTGAAATGTTTGTCTTTTCTGTTTTTTAAATGATTATGAAACCAAAAAGAGACTGATCGTCCAGGCCCTAGCCTCATCCTTCCCAGAACCCCTGGCCAGGATGGAGGTGAGGGATGGAGGGTCCGATCCTGGGACAGCCTCGTCCCTGAGCGCCCCAGGCATGAACTTGTGGGATGGTGGGGTTGGCTTCCCTGGTGTGATGGACAAAGGCCTGGTGTCTGGACAGGAAGGACAGCCAGGCGAGAGTAGCGTGTGCCAGGTGGATCCTCTGGACATATAATCCATTTTGGGCACTACATGATGATGAAATCAAGGCCAATAATAAAGATGTTTCCTACCTGTACAGCTTCCCTCTCCATCTTTTTGAGCAGAGGGTGAAAGGGAGGGCACCCTACAGTGGGTACCCACCCCCAGCCATCTGGAACATCCACAACCACAATCTCATTTACCTAACAGCAGTCCTACTGTGTGCAACTGGGTGGTTAATGTTTTTGTAGGACAGGTGGGGAAACTGAGGCTGGGGGCAGGGAGGGTGGGCCTGAGGTCAGTCGGTGAGTTGTAGGAGTTGAGCCCACAGATGGCATGGTGTCTAGGCTCTACTGTCCTTGGGAGAAACATCTGGGGCTAGTCTTGTCACATGATCTCAGCCCAGCCAATCAGAGCCTTCCGTTCCCCTGGCCACAGTGATTGGTTCATGGGGGTCATGTGTTAGATTTATTTGATGGCAGGATTTGGAACTGGAAGGATATAATTAAAGCAAGGCAGAGCTAAGAGAGGAAGACCAATTTCCCAAGATGCCATTGGAGCCCCTGGATCAAGCCATACCTGAAAGCCTTGAGTGTTTTAGTCCCATGAGCCCAGACTTGCTGTTTTGTGCCTGAGCCAATTTGAGTTCAGTTTCTTCTCACATGTAACTAAAAAAACATCCTGTTTCTGAGATGGGTGTTTGGAAGGTGGGGACTGGAAGGTCAAGACTTTGAAATGTGGACTTAACTGAGTTGATACGGAGAGCTGCAGGGTACCCTGTCATCCCAGCCTCGGGAGTTTGTGGCCCAGCTCTGGTGGGAAAAGCTGTGGGATTTGGCACCAGGTCCGTAGCTCTAGGGGCCTAGTAGGAAGGGCACAGATGGCAGTGGAGGTGGCATCTCACAGCAGAGAAAAACCCCCATCAAAGATGCCCTTCTGAAAACAGCAAGGGAAGAATTCGGGTCTGTCACCCTGCAGGCCGGGCCAGTGCTCAACCCTTAAGGCAGCCCCAGGCCTCCCAAATGTTCCCCGTTAGCACCTCAGCGCCTCTCCATGTCCACCTTGAAGGAAGCCCGAGAAGATGGGGGTTAGGCCACTTCCTGTGGCATAAATAAGGGTCTCTTGTGGGCATGCCCTGTTCCCAGAAGGGGGTGGGATGGGGAGGATACTGGGACCCCATTGGAGGCTGAACTGGGCTTTGCCTTGGGCCAGGGTCACTTGCGATGTCACGTGAATGAGGGATTTGTGTCCATTGCAGTCAGGCTAGACAGCAAGGCCTCATTTCTCAGATTCACAGGACGTCTGAGGATTGAGTGAGACCATGATGTCTGTCCTGCATGTCCGTCCAGGCCTGACTGCTGAACTCCTATTTTCCTACGAAACCTTACCCATATGGCCCCTGGCCTCTCCAGCCTCCTTGATTGTTTAGACTTTGCTGTCCAGCCTTCTGTTACTGGGCCTAGGGCTATCTCCCCCAGACTGGGGACTTCTTGAGGACAATCCTGGTGGCCCAGTGGCTGGCACTGTCTTCCCTGCCTGCAGTTGGACTTGATTTGCTCCTGTCCCCTTGGGCTTCCCTGGGAGACCAAGTCTCAGAGAGGGCAGCTTCTGGTCCACTGTCACACAGCACCACAGGGAACCTGGCCCCATCTGTGCCCCACCAACTCCACCCAAGGCTTGGCCTAGGTCGGGCACTGGAGGATTCCCCCCCAGGCCAAGCATATGAATTGTGCCCACGTAATGCCTGGCATCTATCGCTGTCCAGCCTGTAGTGCCCCAGGAGAAGTGGAGATTGGAGGGATCCATTCGTCTGGGTGGGGTCCGGGCCTCTGCACGGCCCGCAGGCTGCATCTGCCGCCTTCAGGTGGTCCCCAGCGTCGCATCGCATGAATTCTCCAAGACGCTGCCCCCGCAAGACTCTGGGGTCCTCTACTGGTCTTGTCTCTATTACTGGACCTGCAGAAACTGGGGGCCCCTGGGGCTCCCCAACAAGCCTGGCCAAGAAGGTGATGCTGGATGTTGGTCCCTCAGCTTCCAACCGGAAGGCTAGTTCAGGCTCTTGGAGGACAGGGATCCCCCTGGAAAGATGAGGGTTCAAACCCTGTCTAGAGATCCTGGACAAGTCTCTGGGAACCTTGTTTTTTCCCTCTGGACAATGAAAGAACAATATTTTGGCGATAATTGAGTGAGATCAATCAAGAGTGTTAAGCAGCTGTACACAGTAGGTGTTTAATATGTGTTTATTCCATTGGGATGGAGAGCAAGACCTACTTCCAGGGGATGAGCTGGGATCTGGGTCAGACCTGGAGGAGGTCCTGGGAAGGCTTCCTTAAAGAGGGGCTACCAGAGATGAGCCCAAAAGGACGAGGCACCCGCAATCAGGAAAAGCTACCCCAGGGGGGCAGAACAGCGACAGCAAAGGCCAGGAGGCACAAAGAGAAGCAAAGGCCCCTCACCCCTATGTGTCCCTGTGCCTGTCTGCCAGGATGCTCAGAAGTACACGGAGCCCTCACTGCCTCCTCGGTCGTCAAATTTCTGGATCTGGGTCTTGAGATGCCTCAGTTTGCCCTTCAGGTAGTGGCAGCGAGCCTGCTTGTCCAGGAAGCCAGGGTCCTGGGCGGGGTGAGAGCCAGAGGTATTGCGCAGTTTGACCTACGGCCCTCGAGCCGCTCGGCCCTCCGCCCTTTTCTCTTCCAGCCTCAGCTGTCCCTCCTGGAACCTGCACAGGCGCTCCAGCCCAGGGCAGTGTCGGGGGGCAGAGGCCAAGCTGTGGGACCCAAGACTCACCCTCCGCTTCCTCTCAAACTCGCTCCAGACACGGGCTGCAACTTGAGCCTCCTTCTGCAAGGGGAGGAGGAGAAAGGGGCTCAGAGAGGGTTGAGTCCAAGGAGGGATAGGGAAACTGGGGCTCAGATAGACTAAGTCTGCAGTCCCCAACCCCCGACCACGTACAGGTACCCATCCGTGAAACTCAGGAAAGTGGGGAGGAGGAGCGAGCGAGGGAAGCTTCGTCTGTATTTACAGCCGCTCCCCATCGCAGGCATCGCCGTCTGAGCTCCCCCACCCCCGCCCCTGTCCGTGGAGAAATTGTCTTCCATGAAACCAATCCCTGGTGCCAAAAAGGTTGGGGACCGCTGGGCTAAGTAACCCATCCAAGGAGGACCTCAAGGACTGACCTTGGCCCTGTGTTATGGTGCCCAGTCAGCCTAGAGGAGGAAGTCTCAGAAATCTGGACCCAGTGGATGTCCCAGAGGCTTGGGTAGGGCCACCCCTTAGGGCTGTGGGGCTGTGGGGCAGGGCTCTCTCCCCGGAGCTGACCTGGCTTCGGGGCGGGGGCAGTGAGCTCAGCAGGGCCTCTAGCTGCTGGAGCTTTGCCTGCGCACACCCCACCTCCTGCTGGAGCTCCAGGAACTCTCCGTACTGGTCCTCAAACACTGCAGCATAGCGGCTTCTTTCCCTCCTACTGCTCACTGCGGGGTACTTACTACGGAGTTCAAGAGGATCAAGTGTGAGTGTGAGTGTCAAGAACTCCTCTCTTTTCCCCAATTGGTGCAATTTGTTTTGCTTTGCTCACGCTGGGATTGCAGGCCCTGGTAAACTCTTATTCGCCTGTCAAAGCCCCAGCCTCAGTGCCCCTTCCCTGTTCCCAGGTATGAAGAATCACATGCGGGACACTCACAGCTCATAGTCGGGCACTGGGTGAGGCCTAGGTATATGCCCACCAGGGATGGCTCCAATATGCTTCTTGGCGCTCAGAAGAGTCTGGGAGGGCAGCTCATCCTCAAAAACAATCTTCCTGGGCTTTGCCTTGTGGGCTCCAGGCTGGGGCTGGCCCAGAGGGCGGGGGGCACTGGTTTTGAGGCCCGGAGGCACCAGTCGCTGCGACACCACAGGAATCACGGTTTGGGGTTACCGGGGTAGCCTGGGGGACTAGAACCCTTTGACTGGGCCCGGCCTGGGGAGACCCTCCCGGTCAGACTCACCGGGGGCCCAGGGCCAGGCGGGCGGGTCTGCGTGTCCCCCGGGGAGCCGCGGATCTGGGGGCGCTCCCGGGTGCGCATCGGCCTCGGGGAGACGCCGCTTGGCTGCCCCCGGGCTGGTGGGCGGGTCCTCCGGGCGGCGCTGTGGCCCGCGCGCGGCGCGGCTGGCCTGCGGGCGGCCTGCGGACAGGCGAGGAGTCGCGGCGCCCGCGCGGGAGGCGGACCCAGGAGCGGCCAACTCTCCACGCGCGGGCGCGCTCCCCGGCTCGGCCGCTATTTGCATAGACCCCCGCAATTGGCCCTCGACGTGCCCTAGACCCCGCCCCCGGCTGCGTAACCCGGAAAAGCGCTGTGCAAAGGAGCCGTGACGTCACCGCGCAGCTTGGGGCGGGCTCGAGTTAATGCCTGTACTGCCGGAGCCTTTCCCTCTGGGCAGCGAGGAGCCCAGGCTCACCGCCCCCAAGGAGCCCCCCGCGACCCCCGCCCAGCCCGCGGGCCGCTCGGGTCGTTGCCGCCCCCGGTCACCTGTCCCAGCGTCCGGGGCTGCGAGCCTGGGTCCGCGGCGCGAGAGGCACTTGAGTCCGGGTTGTGCATTAACTGAACACTGGACCTGACGGGCGGGGTCGCCGCGCAGGGCGGGGGCGGGGCCTGACGCGACGGGGCGGGGCCTGGCCCGGTCACTCTCCCTCGAGTGACAGGTTCGCATCCGGCCTTGACCCAGACTCGCGGTGTGTCTAGAGCCGGCTATTTATTCACTCTATCTGACCCTCATTTCATTTGTCTGAAAAAAATGGGGTAGTTTTCGCGAACTTATTTTTTTACAGCGATTATATTTTAAAGTTATAATTTTTATCAATAGGGGCATATTTAGAAAATTCAAACAATAGAAAAGGCACACAGGGCAAAAGTGAATTTCTCACCCACGCCTGTCTCCCGAGGCAGCAGTTATTAATAATTCCTGTCTCCTTCCGGAGAGATCCTAATTCAATGACAGACATATATATTTTCTTCGTTGCAAAAAATACTGCAAAACTACTCATGTGAAAGTTTATTTGGCCACAAGTGGGATAATTATCTGTTGGATAAATTCCTAGAAATGGAATTGCTGGGCAAAGGGACCGGTTTTCTGTGTGTTTTTGTTTTCGTTTTGAGACGGAGTGTCAAAGACGTAATGCTTAGGCTGGTCTGCCACTCCTGGGCTCAAGGGATCCTCCGGGCTCAGCCTCCCGAGGGCGCGCCTGTGTCTTCACATTTGGAAGAAGTCGCCAAGCTGCTCCTCGGTGAGGTCGCGCCGTGTCTGCTTCTGTCGCCAGTGAGGGGAGCGGGGTTTCCCCACGGTCTTCGTCGTCGCGGATCCCCTCGCGTGTATTATATCTTCGAAGTTTAGAATATCGCCTCATCTGGTGAGTGAAAAAGTTTAGAAACCGTTTGTATTTGTTTTCCTGTTCATATCCTGCAAATCTGTTTTTTTCGTGTGTGTGTGTGTGTGTGTGTGTGTGTGTGTGTGTGTGTTTAAGAGATGAGGTCTCACTATATAATCCAGGCTGCTAGAGTGCTGTGGTGTCATCACAGCTCACTGCAACCTCCAACTCCTGGGCTCAAGTGATCCTCCTGCCTCAGCCTCCCAAGTAGCTGGGACTACAGGCACGAACCACTACGCCTGGCTAATTTTTCTACTTTTTGCAGAGATCTCGTAGGGGTCCCCTTATGTTGCTCAAGCTGGTCTGAAACTCCTGGACTCAAGCAATCGTCCCGCTTTGCCCGCCCCCTGCCCCCAAAGTGCTAGGATTACGGGCATGAGCCAGTGCACCTGGGCTTACTGATTTTTAGGAGTGCTTCATACATCAAGAAAATTAATTTAAGTATGCAGTGTATCTTTTTTGTTGCTATTATAAATGGGATACTCCAAGACGTTTTGCAACCATGTGTGTATATATAGATAGATAGATAGATACAGATAGTATATAGGAATCAAATTTTTAAATATCCATCAATCCCTTGGTAGCTTATGGAACTCTCTTATTGAAATAGCATCTTAGTTTGCCTGGGTCTTTCATATATACAGTCATATCTGCAAATAATTTCGCCTTTTGTTATCTTAGTTTTCCGGTCCGTTGCTTTTTCTCATCCAGTTGCGCCGACTGGCACCTCCAGACAAGGTTAAGTTCCGGGGGAGGCGCCAGCGGTGGCCAGTCCTCCCCGATGCTCACTTCAGCAGCGCAGCTGCCAGAGTTTGCACTGAAAACTCATCGCTGCTTGGGCTTGAGTTGAGATTTTTCAGTTGTGAAGAAAATGGAAAATACCCATCTTTTCTTTCTTTTCTTCCCTTTCTTTTCCTCCCTTCCTTCCTTCTTTTTTCTTTTTTTAGAGACTTTGAGTAACGGATGCCGAGCAGTACCAAGTGCCTTTCAGCATCTGTGATTTTGTTTTCTGATGCATTAATGTGGCTTCCTAATATTCAATCATTATATTAATACGTTTTTTCTTCTTTTCATAAGAGGTTGACTTTATCTTCATCACCATCACGTACCCTGTGTACACCTGTCGGTGTAAAATTTGCTGTCTACACACTTGGCAATTTCCCAGTGGCTAGAACTCTGGAGACTTCGCAGATAGTTCTGATGTCTCTGGCCTCACTCTCAAGGTGCTGGCTGCCCAGTCGACGCTTGAGATGGCAGAGTTCTCCCTGTGTTGGTCCTACTCTGGCTCATTGAGCTGGTGATAGTGGCCAAGTAGTGTTGACCCTCTCCCTTTCTTGGATTTTCTTGAAGTGGTGGTTGTTTTTGGAGAGGATTTTTTCCCTGAGCTGCTTTGAAGGGTCTTTTTACCTTCATGGTTATCTTAGGCACCTTGACACTGTCTCTGGACCTGGGTGGACAAGGGGCCCTCCTCTTCTTCCCTCCTTTGGTGCCTGGGGTTGGTTGTTCCAATGGCTGTGCTGGAGGCCTATGGTTTCCTGGTCATCTTTGCCATGCCAGGACTTCCTAGCAGTCTTATGATCTGCCACTAGAGTTTTAAAACACCTCTACCTGGTGGTTTTACACCTGAGTTGATGGGGGTCAACCTCATTGACGCTCATTGGAATGAACATTCATGGAGATGCCTTCTCTGGTGCCTGTCCTGGGGCATTGGAGAAGGCTTTCCAGCACAGGGGCATTGTGGTTAGGGCTTTACTGGATGAATAGGAGTTTGGTAGAAGGCAGAAACACATTTCCAGCAGAGACCATAGCACTGGAAAAACAGGGCAGTAGGGGTTCACGTTCATGCCTGTTAACGTTCCCATGGGACAGACACCTGAAGCACCTGTCACCTGTCCACCCTCTTTCCTTCACCGAGCTCCCTCAGTAACTGCCCTTACAAGCTGTGCCTGTCTGAAGTTGGAGTGAGCAGAGCCCAGGACCCACTGTTTCCCCAGGATTCCTACTCTACAACCCCTGCCAGGGTCCCAACCCCAGTACCCTCCCAGTTCTCTGCTAAAGTGATCAGAATGTGACCTGGGGAGGACAGGATTTCCACTAAGCTTTGGGCATGACCTATATGTGTTTGTTGAATGACTGTGTGAGGGATCTGCAGTGTCCCAAGAGCTGGTGCTGTGGCTGGGCTGAGCCCCGTCTCTAAATTATTTCCTTCAATCCATGGAAAGCCCAGCATTGATGCCCCCTCCTCCATGCTGAGCTCCAGGCATGGCCCCACTCCTCATGATCTCTGGCCTCACAGCACTGAAGGTACTGTGTTCAGCTCTGACTCTACCAAACTGGAGGCTCCTGGGGCCTCTTGGAGCCTGGCCTGCCCAGCCTGGGCAAGGTGCTAGGAGGAAATGGGGGGGTGTTTGACGGGTCACTGCCCCGCCCCCATCCTGACCTTCTTTCTCTCCTGCTCATAGACTTTCAGTGGCTCTCAGGGCTCTCCGGACACCCTCCCATCTCACTGCCCCGCCCAAAAGGCACCCCTGGCCAGGGGCAGCAGGGCAGAGAGAAGACATGAGGCGGGTGGGGCTGGTGTTTATTTGAGTTTGGGCATGATGCGAATGAAGAGGATCATGCTGATGAAGATGAAGCAGACGATAATAAGCATAGCCCAGAGCAGCCAGTTGACCGACTTCTGCGTGTGCTGCTCCAGCCGCTCTGACTCCGTCTTCAGCTTCTCCAGGCTCTGGTCAGCCATCTTAAGTGAGTGTGACAGGGTCTGTGGATGAGGTGGGGAGAGTGTCAAAAGGACTAGGGCCAAGTCTGGCCTCTCCCCACTGCCCTGGGGCAGGCCTGCACCTTGGCCCTGGCTAGTGTTGTGCTCTCTGCTGGGAATGCCATTTTTGCCTTCTACCAAACTCTTATTCATCCAGCAAAACCCTAGCCACAGTGCCACTGTGCTGGGAAGCCTTCTCTAATGCCCCAGGGCAGAGGCTGGAGAGTTCCCACAGTTCTCACACCTGGTTGTCCTTCTTGATGACGCTCTGGGCAGCCAGTGTGTTGGTCTTGAGGCTCCGGGCCAGGCCTAGCATCTCTTCTGCCAGCTTTTCCTGGAGGTCCTGATGCCGTTGCAGGACGAAGTCTAACTCAGCTGCTGACTGCTTTTCATCTGCTGGCCTGGGCCCTGCCACTCCACTGATCCCACACATGGGGACAGGAGAGCATGAGAGATGAGGTTGGGGAAAGGGAAGAGACTAACACACTCCCAAGGAATCCAAAGGTCATGGCTCCAGCCGCTGCCCTGCCTGGGGCTCAGTTTCCTCTTCTTTGCTTTGGCTTCTGGGAAGTGCATCCCCAGAGCCGGTTCCTGGTGGGTGGTTTGGACCTTTGTGGTAGTGCCCCAGTGGCCCAGGGTTTGTCTAGCACCCTCCCCTCGCCAGTGCCCCTACTGCCCGGGGACTGCAGACACTCACGCTCTCTTCCTCACATCCAGCGCAGGCTCTGAAAGCAAAACAGGACAAGCAGGAGGACAGAGAGGTTTGGCTTCCTGTGTCCAGCCTCCCACCATCGCCTGTGCTGTCTGCTCCTTACACTGCCGCCTGCCCATCTTTCCTGCTCGTGCTCAAAAGCTTTAGCTTGAATACCCCCTCTTCTAGAAAGCTCTCCCTACCCCACCTGGGCTACCCCAGAACTCAGGTCCCTGCCTCTGGCCTAGTCTTGGCTCTGTGGACTGGGTGTGTCCAACTCTGTCTCCTCTGGGGTCACTTGCTCTGTCCTGGCTCCCCCTCCAGGTATAACTCGGTGAAGCCCTCTGGGTCACACTGTCCCTAGACTGGGGAAGACCTGTGGCAGCCAGGCTGGGCATGAGGGACGTGGGGCAGCAGGGATACACGTCTTGTCCCAGGCAGCTGGCTCTCAAGTCCTGTTCCATTCAAGGTGACTCACCTCTGGAAGAGTCCTGTGGGAAGAAGGAAGAGACAGGTACAACGTCCCCTACTTTGTCACAAGCTTGTCCTTTCTGCTCTCAGAACCTCCCCACCCTCAGTCAGGACCCAGGATCCCATGACTTCTGAGCCTCAGTTTCCTTATCTATAAACTGGTAACAACGGCAGCTCATATTGCGAACAGTTCAGCTGATCCACGGACAATGCTCAGAAAAGCGTTTGGTCTCGTGCGATGGCTCAGGGGAAAGACTGTTGGGCCCCGTGTGGTCCCTGTACCTGACAGTATTGTCATTCTGGCTGTCCCCAGGCACCGAACCCCTGTCCCTGTCCAGGGAGTTCCTGGGGACCAGAGAGAGCCCTACCGTGCCCAGCAGCTCGCTCCGCATCTCGCTGGCGTACCGCGCCCGCGACTGCAGATGCACCGTCTTGGTGGCGGGCACCCGCTCGCCGGCTGTGGTCGGCACGCGGCCGGGCGCCAGGAGCTGGTTGGCAAGCGCCTTCTCTGCGGAGGAGGTCTGCGGAAACGGGGGAGAGGTCACTGGAGGGCAGGCCCTGGAGACCCCAGTGAGCGTGATGGCCGCGAGAAGGCAGAGGTGACTCTGCTCACCAGCTTCTCTGCCTGCAGCATCCCCTTCAGAAAATCCACCTTGCGCGAATATTCGCCGATCACCTCAGAGGTCGGTTTGCTGGAAGGCAAGAAGACAAAAAAATGCCCACTGTCCCCAGCTCAAGGAGGGACCCCAGTTGGGACGCGGACGCCCTAACAGAACCCCCGCACCCTGGATTGGAAACCCCTGAGGCGCCCGCACTCACCTCGCTTGGGCCTTCAGGGCCTGCAGCATGTCCTCCAGGGCCCCCACGTACTGGGGAGGGAAAGTAGGGGGTCAGCCCGTCCTTCCCAGGTCCTCGCTCACGTGGGTCAGAGCCAGGGGCCGGGTGCGGCCGCCAAATGGGAGGAGCCCAGTGCCAAGCAGGCGGGGCCACCCGGAGGGGCGGGGCCCCAGGGACGGGGCGGGAGCTGCAGGAGGACGTGGCGGAGCTGACCGGAAAGGGCGTGGCCGGCGTGGCTCTTTGGGGGGAGTAGGGCCGTGTGGCCTCCAGCCCCGGGAAACACCCTCCGGGAGTCAGGCTATACGTGGCCGTGCGGAATTCTCCTCACCTTCTCCAGACGCCACTCGTCCGGGTCCCGCTTCTCCGCTGCCATCGCCTCGCAGCGACATAGCAGCCGCACCAGGTTGAGCTCCAGCCTCGACGCCGCCATCCCCGCTCGGCGGCACCCCGCCCCTTCCGCTGGCGCCATCTTAAGAGAGGGCGGAAGTGCCTTCATCTGGCCTTCTTCCGGGTGGACGTGCCCCCCCCCCCCCCCCCCCCGGTCTCCGTTAACTTGCCCATCTTTGTTTGGGGCGGAATATCTTCTTTTAAGGCGAGGCAACGTCACGTCCGTATTCTCTCAGGGCTGAATTGCTTGCTTTTCCTCCAAAGCGTTTTAACCCTTTGGGAGGAATTGGAAGGACCCGGGTCCTGTGCAACGCGCCCTCTTACTCTGTGCCGCCTGCTCCATACGCCTCCTTCACACCCACTCCTGCCTGGATTCTTCCCCCGCTGGGTTCTTTCCCCGCTAGGCAGCCTTCCCGAAAGATTTGTCTTGGGGGACAAGCGCTGGCCTGGGACTTGGGGATGCAAGGCTCCCCACCTCGGGTTTATTATCTGTCAGAGGGGCTCATCCGTAGTTCAGTTATGAGATTCTGGGTCCTAGTCTTGACTTCTGACTCTATTCCTGGCCGTGGCCTTGGATTTCTTTTCTGAGCTCCCCTGCGAAATCGACGATGTGACAGTGCCTGCCTTAAGGGGGACACGAGCCAACCCTGGGAGGCAGAGGTGGGGTCGAGTCACCCCTAGTGTTGAGAACCCAGTCCCAGCCCACACGGGTCCCCAGGAAGCCGAAGCCCCAGGCCTGCAGCACCACTCTTCTGAAATGGATGGGGTGAGGGTGGGGACTTCATGAGGACCAGGGCCTGGCATGCAGCCCTCAGACCAGTGGCCCTGGTGTCCTTGCAAAATACCATAGAGGGGACCACACCCAAGGCCAAAAAAGGGGGCCTCAGAGGCCGACAGAGCAGTCTGAATGCCAGCCCCCTGCCCAGCATCCACAAGCGCTTTAGCCAGCCCACCTCCCGCCCTGGGACATTCTAGTGGCAGTGTTCACTGGAGGATCAAGGCAGGTCCTCCCAGGCCAGGGCACAGCCCCCACCCTGCGCCCCTCTTGGCTGAGGCTGCAGGGCTGACTCTACCCACCAGATGTGCTCTTCCAGCCCTGACGCGTTCTGAGGAGGGATCCCATGCAGACACATCTCAGGCACTTTTTCTTTATTTCACACGTTGTGCAGGGTGCCCCCGTCCCAAACCCGTGGCCATGTGTCCAAAGTGTCTGGGGAGTGGGCCAAGCCTGAGAGAAGGGCCACATCCCAGAGAGCCCCAGGCTGTCACTGTTGACCTGTAGGGACATCTAACTTCAGGCCTTGCCCTCCCCACCCGTGAGCAGTCCTGAGTCACTGGCTCTTGTACTGTCACCTGGGGTGCACAGAGCCACGGGCGGCCTTCTCCGGCTGCGGTGTCCAGAGTGATGGCGACATTCGGCTCTCCCTGGCACTTGAGGTCCGTGTACCCTGGGTGGAGGCCGCCCCCGACTCATGTCCTGGCTCCAGCCAACAGCCACAACCCCCATGGAAGGCTCCAGCATCCCCTTGAATGCACACGGGCCAGGTGGCTGCCCACTGGAGACACGTGTTGGAGACAGACTTGCGGTGGTCTGACGCCTGAAGCGTCTAAAACCCTCCTGGAGGGTCCAGGCACGCTGACCATCCCCATGTCGACTGCAGCATGAGTCTGAGCCCCAGAAGCACAGCAGCCGAGTGGCCTCTGCTCTGACGACTAACGTCCAGATTACAAGGGAGACGCACAGCGTTAATAGAAAAGTTTGTACATACACATATAAAAAACGATTTGGTCTTCTGTTAAGGCTGTTACAGTTTAAAGTTATGTAAACCACATACAAACAAACAGTTACTGCAAAAACGTACAAAAAGTAAGGGAAGAGATGAGAGGCTGCCTGCCGCGATCTGCTGCTTCTGGGGGGCCTGTGGCGTGGGGGCCTTGGTGCCAGGTGGCCCACAGCCCCAGCCAGCCTCTCCCCGCCGTGGCTCTGCACTTGGAGCTGGTGCCCACCTCAAGCGGCTCTTGGAGCTTTTCGTTCTGGATCCTTCTCAGAGAGCCGAATGCTCACTTTGCAGCTCCAGTCCAGGGGCCCGCCTTGGACACGTAGACTCTGGCAGCCGTGGGCCTTCAGCCGTTGGCCTGGCCCGACGTGGAGGGTAGGCAGTACTTTGGGGGGTCTGAGTACCTCCGCTTGGCCCCAGGCGGCCGGCTGTCCTCGTCCAGGGGCTCCAGAGACATCTGTGCGGGCAGGTCTGCCCCCGGTGTGATGTACACGGAGTGTACCTGGTCCGGGCGGCGGGCAGGTGGTTCTCGGCGCCTCACTGGGGCAGAAGCCTCCCGGGCACCTGGTGGCCAGCTGGGCAGGTGGGAGGGTAGGCCCGGCGGGAGCTTGATGTTGGCCGTGGGCATTATGGGGGTCCGCCGGGGCATCTTCACTCTGACCGTTACGAAGGACGAAGGCCTTCGTCGTGGAGGGGCGCCCGCCGTGGGGAGGGGGCTCGGGGCGGGCGTGCTGGGGCAGGGGAGAGCAGGCACAGGGGGCCCTTTTGAGAGATAGATGGCAGGGTTACTGCAGCTTTGGGGCCGGCAGCCAGACACTCGCCCCAGGGCCTGCCGGGGGTGGACGGGAAGGAAAAAAGCAGACGCTACCTTAATACTGACCTTCCGTGGCCCCCCGCCCAGCCCGCTCCTCCAGCAGACTCTCGGTGCTGGCGGACGTCTCTGAGTCCAGGTTCTCCTCGTCAGAGCCCCTTGGGTCCAGCTCTGGCAGCCGGTAAGTGATGTCCTCCCTGGGGTGGGGAGAGGGGTCATGGTGTCCAAGGCCATTCCACAGAAAGTTCCAGGCTGCTATGGGACACATCAGGCTGTCCTGCTCCCTGTCACCACTCCCTTCCCCTCCTCCAAGCAAATCTGGCCTAAAACTCCCCTGGTTCTCAGAAGCTCATTGGATGAGAGGGTCAGGCTGCTGAGGGCAGCCTGGGCATTTGACCCAACACTGAGTTACTGACATGCTCTTGCCTCAGGGCCTTTGCACGTGCTGTTCCCTCTGCCTGGAACACCCTCCCCTGCTCCTAAGACTAAGGTGGCCAAGCAATCTGGTCACACCTGTTCTTCTGACATTATTATTACTATTTTTTAGAGACGAGGTCTCACTCTGTCACCCAGGCTAGAGTGCAGTGGCATGATCATAGCTCACTGCAGCCTCAAACTCCTGGGCTCCAGCGGATCCTCCTGCCTCAGCCTCCAAAGTAGCTGGGACTAGAGGCGTGCGTCACCAAATAGGGCTCCCTTTCACACTCACACATCAGCTGGAAGATACATTAGGAAAGGCCGCCTTCAAGATAAAGTTGGAACACTGCCTCTCTGTCACCCCTTCCCTCCCTGTGGGCCACTGTGGTCCCCTGTGGTCAGGCATGGGGTTTGAACAGAGCCCTCTACAAGTGTTCACGGCCGAGTCCTAGGACAGCAATGTCCCATGAGGTATTGTTTATCCATGCTGGGGACACTGGGACCACCAAGGACTGAACCTGCCTGCCAGCCTCCTAGAGGCCATGCCCTCCACTGCCTGTGGGCTAGCGGATGGGGGCGGATGGGGAGGGCTGAGGGAGGGAAGGGGATGGGAGGGACACTTGCTTCTCCTCCTTGATGGACTGGATCCGCTCGATGAGGATCTCCTTCTCTCGGTCCTCCTCACCGCCGGCCACCTCCTCCTCCGGCAGCACCTCCAGCTCCTCCAGGCCGCTGCCCTGGCTCGCCCGGGCCTTGGGGCTCTTGTTCTGAAAAGGGAAGCAGCAGGTGTGATTAGCACCTCCAGGAGGGTGGAGGTGAGAGAGCAGGGCAGCAGCTCCTGGGGAGGTTAGTTCTGATGTGCACGTGCTCGGCTCTCAGTGAGCCCTCTCCAGGAATCCCGCGGGGACAGAGTGGCAGGAGCTTGGGTGATTAGTCGTTGTCAGTGCAGACGGTCAGTGGGCAGGGTCCTCCCCCAGCATGCGCTTCTGGAAGGTTAGGACATGCTCGCTTTATCCTGGAGAACCCCAGGGGCCAAGGGCACCCAGCATGCACCGCACTGGGACGCATGCACCGCGGGCCCACCGGACACGTACATACCAGGACCCCCTCATGGGGAGACGAAAACCCCAGTTTGAGAGGCCATGGCTGGGAGAGAGATGAACACGGGTGACCACACAGGAGTGACTGGGGGTTACATCCGACAACCAGCATGAAGATAGGGGTTCCCTGGTTCTCACAGGAGCCCAGGACCTGCTCCCCACTAACCCCTCCCCCTACCATGGACCCATGTCTCCTGCTATGGGGATGTTTTCCTGTGGGTGGGGCCTGGGTCAGCAAAGGACAAGGCTGGACTGATGACCTGAACCACCACCATGTGGGTGACAGGTCCCCCTACCTTCCCCACCTAGAGGAACAATCGGGGTGAGGCTGAGCGTGGAGTGTGGCTTTTTGGACAGGGCAGGAAACCTGCCCCTACCTGTGCAGCCATGAGGCCTGCGTGCGGCCAACGGTGTGCTGCGAAGGGGCGGGGAAGCAAGACCACGCCCACCACCCATCCCACCCCGCCCACCTGAGGCTCCTCCACCCAAAGCCCCGCCCCCACCCTCTGCGCTCACAGCATTTTGTCGCAGCAGCGAAAGCCTGCGGAAGGCGATGCTCTCGGCCGCCTCCAGCTGGCTGATCTCCTCCATCTTCACTTTGTACTTGCGCATCTGCTCCTTGATCAGCATCTCCACACACCTGCGGGGAAGACCAGCGCATTTCCGCTTGGCGGTAGGGGCCAGCGTGCGGTTCTCAGAACAAGGAGGGGCTCAGCCCCAGAGTGGTCGGCACCAGAGCTGGGGAGGTGGGAACCCAGTACTGAGGGGCAGTCTGGGACCCAGGTTTCTCACTGTCATGACCACGGAAGGAAAAAAGGACCAAAGAATGTTCTGAAAGAGACTAGAAGCAGTTCTGTCAACACCACACCACCTGGATGGTACCAGAGCCTCATGCTCCTGAGTGCCTGTCGATTTTCCTTAACAGCGATGACCGTGGCCTGGGGGACCTGCTGGCAGGTGTCCCTCTCAGGCCTTCTCCTTGTGTTTTGCCTTGCGAAGCCACAGAGGGAGACAGGCTCCGAATGTTCACAGCTCCCAGCCCTAAAAGCAGGTCCCCTACTGAAGACTGACCATCATGTGCTCCTGAGTTGTGAAGAACTTTCGGGGAACTTTTGAAGGACGCTCAGGGGGAAGAAACCAAAATTTGGCTTCTTTGCTGATTTCCTTTTTTTTTTTTTTTTTTGGGTTCTTCAGCCTCCAAAGAACTTGGAAGTGACACCGCCTTGCTGGACGAGACAGTCAGGGCCACGCTTTCGCCTGGGCTGGGTGTGGCGAGCCCCGCGGTGCAGGCTGCAGGGGTTGCTACCTACTCGTTTCTTTTCCTTCCCTGCAGCAGGGAAAGGAGCCCTCTGCTGCTCACTTTCCATCCAGCCTTTGATACGGCTGTTTCTGCGTTCCTTAGAGCACATTCGGATAGGAAAAAGGACACGAAGTCGACCTATAGCACACAGCTCAGACACAACTGCTGGGGCCGTTGCTATCGGGTATTCCCTTCTGGACTTTTCTTTTCTTTTAATGTTTTTTTAAGAGATGGGGTCTTGCTATGTTGCCCAGGCTAGTCTTGAACTGCTGGCCTCAAGCGATCCTCCCACCGCAGCTTGCAGAGTAGCTGGGACTACAGGCTCAGACCACTGCACCCAGCTTTGGACTTTTCTTACACGCACATTTACGCTGCTGGATAAGCCCCTGGTGGGTGTCCCCTGAACACGAGTCTGGGGCAGGGCCCCTGCCTGGTACTCACGTGGTGATCTTGAGCACATCCTTCATGCTGGTCAGCGGGTCTGCGTTGTCAGGGCAGCGCAGGAGGCAGGGTGCAAAGATGATGGCCAGCGCCCCGGGTGACATGCGGTTCACATCCTCGAGCAGGGCCACCCTGCATGGCCCTGGCAGTTAGGGGGTGGCCACAGCCGAGGGAGGGAGGTAGGTCCCGGGGAACCCTAAGACTGGACTTTAGAGCCCCGGGGTGGTTGCTGGCAAAGTAGCACTGCAGCCCAGAGGTGAGAGACACTTCCGCAGCACAGAGAGGTGCTTCGAAGGACCCAGGGCGGCCCAGCAGACTGGTGGGCTCGGTCCTCTCTCAGAACCCTCAACCCCGGCCACCTCCTGGTTCAAAACCACCAAGAACATCAGCCCGGGCTGCGCTACGAAACGCTGCCTCAGGGGTTCGTGATGGAGCCCCCAACCCCACGGAGGGCAGGCACTTGCTTGACAAGGTGGAAGATGAGCCGCTCTAGGGAGCTGTGGTTGGCCTCTGGGAGGTGCTCCAGGACAGCGTAGATGGCAGCCAACTGCTCCTGCTTCTCAGGCAGTTCTAGGGAGGCCGAGGGCGTCAGTTCCCGAGTGCCCCTGCCGTGCCCACCCCACCCCACTGGCGGGCGTAGGGTGGGTGCCGCCCTCCAGATGCTGCTTGGGGTAGGTATGTGGCAAGAATGAAAGGCCACAGAGGGGTCCTGGCCCCACCCTGAACTGGGGACGCGCCTGGCTCATGTTGTTCCCGCTCCGGCCCCCGGCTGCGGCCTGCTGTGCGGCTCACCGACGGCCCGGAGAAAGTCGCTGTACTGGGCGAATGTCATGAGGGGTTCAGGCAGCTCCCGTAGCCACTGCTTCAGCACCCCGGTGACGGCATGGATCGGGAAGTCCTCCAGCTTCACTGCCGCCGGGTCTGCGGGGCGGGCAGGGCTGGTGAGCTCTGCGCACGCCGGGTGGCCGAGCCCCGTGCCTGGCATGGCACCCACCTGCCCGCAGTGCCCACCTGTCTGCAGTGCCTGCCGGAGCTCCCGAGTGCGGTTGGCCGCACCTGACTTGCGGTAGAGGCCCTCAGTGTACAGGCCGTGCATCTCCACGTGTTCCAGAAGCTTCTCCAGCACGATGGGCACGGAGACCTTGTCGTTGGTTAGGCTGTCCACACACACGCCGAAGTGGCCGTGCTCGGCACCTGACTCGCCCTGCCGTGCCAGGGGTTGGGGGGTCAGGCCTGGGCCCATGCAGGGCCCAAGGGAGCCTCTGCTGTGGACTCTGGCCATGCGTGCCCCACGTCTCCCCTTGCACGGCTGCAGGGGCGCCAGGCTGCGGAGGTCAGCCTGACAGCCACTGGGGTGGGGGGCACCCGCAGGGTAGGTGGCCCTTCCTGAGGAGAAGACTATTCCCTGACCCTCACACCCCCTCAAAGAAGTGGATCCTGACCCTGGCTGCACCCCCAGCACTGGGGACCCCACCTTCCTCGTTGTGCAGAGTTGGGGGCTTTCCTCTGCCAGGCTCAGGACTCTTCCAGAAGGAAGGATCAGCAGGGCTGGTGGTCTGAGATGCACACACACGCCTGGCCCCTGCCTCAGCAGCCTCGACGGATTCAGACAGAACCAGGGGCGGGCCTGTGTTCTGTTGCAGAGCCAGGGGCCACAGCCCCTCCTGCCAGCTTCCTGTGCTCGCCCAATGCCCTCATTTGGCCCTCACACCAAGTACCACCTCCCCAAGGCACCTGGCCCTGCGTGGAGTGTCACTCTAGAAAGTTCGAGGCCCTAGAGTGCTCACCTTCCTCCCGCACATGTAGGAGCAGCAGCTCTGGATCTTGTGCACACACTTCTTGTGGCAGGTCATCTTGCACACTAGGAGGTCACAGGGCGGGATTCACAGAGGGTACGTTGGGGACCCCAAGTTCCCCAACTGCCTTCTAAACTCGCATTGTAGGCATCTCTGCCCTAATTCCATGAGAGGAAGCCATGTAGGTTGGTTTTCATAGCTTCATGGTGGCCGTTAGTAGCCTCAGACCCCGTCTGGCCAGCAGGACCAAGAGCAGGTGTTCGGGGGTCTCTGGGCACTGTCCGAAGGACTCCGTGCATCACAGTGGTAAGAATGATGCTGCCTTTTCTCCTTCCAACAACACTGAACCCTACATCACCTGGTTGATGTCTTGGAGAGAGCAAGTGAGCTACGCTAAGAAGCGGGGGTGTCTGGCATCCCCTGAGGTGAGGGCAGAATCAGCCCTCTGGGCCTCTGGGGGCTGACTGGGGCTTGGGCACCTCCCTGTGCGTGAACACAGGCCAGCTCTGCCAGTCCGGGCCCCACCTATCTCTCAGGGTCCCCATGCTGGCTGTGCGTGGCACATGGAGGAGGGAGCTTGAGGGGTCTGAGGAGGGGACCACAGTTCAGGTCGTAGGCGCAGCCTGTAAAAGGACCAAGAGGCAGGACCCAGGGTGACCTGCCCAGGTACACAGGAGGAGGAGAGGCTGCAGAGGTGTGTGAGGACAGGCTCGTGGGGGCCTTGGAGCCAGCTAAGAAGTGGGCTCTGTCCTTGGGATGGTGGAGGGTTTGAGGGGTGAGGTGTTGCCGGGGCAGCAGTCTGGGAAGATCTTCCCTGCGGCGGGGCGGGTGGGCAGTGAGAGCTGAGTAGGTCTGGCGGGGCTTGGGGGCCCCGGGGCACTCACCGCTGCAGAGCAAGGCCTTGTCCATGAGCCAGATGTAGGAGAGGCACTGCTCGCACGACTGCGGGATGCTCACCTGGTAGCTGGCGAACACGTGGCCGTTGTGCTCCTGGACCTGCTGGGGCAGCAGAGGGTGCCGAGTGTGGGGCCGCCCAGGTGGATGAGGGCCTGGCGGCACCCTAGGGGCGGGGTCTGCTCATTCACGGCTGGTTATGTGCGGGGGCAGAAACACACACGTGCACATGCACAGATGCACGTTTGTGCACATACGTGCAGTGCCAACACGGATGCATACGACAGGCACACTCACGCTCCTGTAGACACTCGCCTGCACACACAGCGTCGACACGCACACCTACTCACAGCACGTTCTTGCTTCCGCTTCTTTTTCTGAGCTTTGCTCTGCTGTGAGGGACATGAAGAAGAAGAGGTCACATGGGACTCCCCAGGGAACATACCCACCCCAGCCCGGTCCCCAGCAATAGAGGCATCCGAGTGCCCTGAGCCCTTCCTCACCTGGAATGGCAGCTACCCTAAGGCGCCCCAGCGGCCCTATTCGGAATCCCCCGACCCACAAGTGAGGCCCTGGGAGTGGGTCGGGGAGCCCCGTGGGGAGGAGGTGGGCAGGGAGTGGAATAAGTGGGCGAGGCAAGGTGGGCGTGGCATGGAGGGCCACTCACCTTCACGGGCTCAAAGTCGTTCTTGCTGTAGCTGCGGGTGAACTCATCCAGCAGCGACTGGAAGAGGTTGAGGACCAGGTTGGTGTCCTTCTCACCGCGCTCGGTGGCCAGGTTGCTGACGACAATCTGGTAGTTTTCCATGAGGTCCTTGTAGCCCACGTGGATCTTCCCATTCTATGGGAATGCGAGGTGTGACCCCCACAGGCTGGGGCAGGGGTAGGGGACAGATGAGGGTGAGGGATTTAGGGGAGGGCACGGGAAACGCCCCAGGCCAGAGGCTACCACGTACGGGTACAGAGTACATGGTTTTGATGTTGCTCCTGAACTTCTCAGTGGCTTCAATAAATAAGCTCTCGATGGGAGTCTTCTGGGAGCGTAGGTCATTTATCTGGAAAGAGAGGAGATCGCGCAGCGCTGGCCGGGGGCCTGTGTGCAGAGGAGGCTCTATACCGTCATCCTGCCCTCTCGAGTCCTCCCCGGCCCTCCCGCTGACCCTGGTCTCTCCAGTCCCTTCAACCCAGGGTCAGAGCTGCTCACGGTGGGGCTGGATCACTCTCTGAAGCACAGTCCTGTGCACTGCAGGGTGTTGAGCAGCGTCCCGGCCTTGACCCACCAGATGCCAGTTGCACCCTTGCCCCAAATCGTGACAACCCAGTATGTCTCCAGACGTTGCCTAACGTCTCCTGGAGCTGCGGTCCTCAAGCCCCGGGCCGAGGCCCAGTACTGGTCCATGGCCTGTTAGGCAGGGGGCCGCCTGTCGCCGCCTGAGCTCCACGTGCCCCCACGACCCACCCAGGTCTGTGGAAAAATGGTCTTCCATGAAACCGGTCCCTGGTGTCAAAAAGGTTGGGCCCCGTGGGCCTGGGGGACAGAATCTCCCCCACGAGAGCCACAGGTTGTGGCCGAGCGCTTCCTCTGCCCCACACAGGTGCTCAGTGCCCAGCCATACCCCAGGACAGGGTCACCTCAGTGGCCCGGTCATTTCTGGGCAGGGCTCCTAACCCTTTGGTATCCACATCAGCCCACCCCATCCCGTGAGGCTCCGAAATGCAGCTCTGTCAGCCGTGGGATTGTCCCTAGATGGGATGTGAACACCCTGAGCACAGGCCACAGCTTGTTCACCTCTACCTCCACTGCATACAGTTAGCGCTTAAGCAGCGTCTGCGTTGACACTGAGTATGTTTTGTAAAAGTGTACTCTAAACACACTAAAGAGTTTGGGCAGCGGCTGTGCACCTGGACACAGCCTGGTGCCAGGACTGAGGGCCTGGTGGCGCGTGGGACGTGGGTGTGCCCACCTTGTTGAGCAGGAACTCGTCCAGGTACTTGAGCTCGTTGGCGTTGGTGATCTTGCGGAACACCGATTCTCGCCACTTCTCCGACACTGTGATTTTGCCGATCTTGAGGTTTCGGTTCTTCTTCCCTTTGCCTCCCAGCTCCTTGGTGTGCTTCTCACCTGCTATGTAGCGGTGCTGGTGGCCGGAGGGGACTGTCGGGGACAGGGAGCAGCTGGTGATGGTGCGTTCTGGGGCAAAGACGTGGAGGACTCCCCACCACACTCTGCCTCGGTCCCTGGCCCAAAATGCCCCCGGCCCTGGAAGCTCTGTGCCTGGGGCTCAGCCCACAGCCACTCAAGGGCCTACTTGGAGACAGTGCGTGTCCCCAGGGGCCCCGGTGGCTCTGCCGTCCATCCCTGAGGCTGCGGGTGACCAACCTTCCAGAGCCTTCTTCATGGTGGTGGCCTCCAGCAGGACCCCAGGGAATGCATTCTCCGTCTCCTCCGCGCCCTCCAGGCTGTACTTTTTATCCTTGGTTTTATGCAGGAAAAGTCTCTTAAACGTGGATCTGCGGGAGAAATTAAGTGGCTTCTCTTAGGCCTGAGGAGTGAAAACGGGCGTAAGGCCCAGACTCTCTCTGATCTAGCACACAGCTCTGTAATTGCCTGATTTTTACAAAAGGGGTCATTTTGTTATAAAGAAAAATAACCCTTTTCCCTGCTACTGATGGGATGGGATGCTGCTAAAACTCAGCCTGTTTGTATGAACAACAGCGGTGTTAAATGAAGAAAGCATGATACTGAACAGAAAAGCCACAGTGACTCTATCTTCACATTAAAAAAAAAATAAAGGCGGGACGTGGTGGCACGACCTGTAGTCCCAGCTACTTGGGAGGCTGAGGCAGGAGGATCGCTTGAGCCCAGGAGTTTGAGGCTGCAGTGAGCTATGATGACACCACTGTATTCCAGCCTGGGTGACAGAGTGAGACCCTGTCTCTAAAAAACCAAAAACGAAACAAAGAAAAAACCACCTAAACACCTAGCCCCTCACATGTTTTTATGGGCACAGGCTTAGAAACAAGTCAGGAAGAAGAAACTCCAGGCCACGAACCATGCTGCTGGGTGTGAACGGTGGCCACGGTGGGCCCCCCCCCACCAAAAGGTGTGTTCAGGTGCTGACACTCAGGACCTACAAGACAGGTGTGATCTCGTTGGGGAAAAGGGTCTTTGCAGATGTGACTTAGTGAAGGATTATGGGATGAGATCATTCTGGATTAAGCAGGTCAGCCCCAATCCAGTGACAAACGTACTTATAAGACACAGAGCAAAAGACACAGGAGGGAGAAGCCCATGTGAAGACAGAGGCAGGCGCTGGAGTATGTGGCTCCGAGCCCAGGACGGCCTGGAGCCCCCAGAAGCTGGAAGAGGCAAGAAGATCCTCCCGTAGAGCCTCTGGAAGGAGTCAGACCTGCCCACACCTTGATTTTGTCATTTTCTTTTTAATTTTTTTTTTTTTTAGAGACAGGGTCTTATTCTGTTGCCCATGCAGTGGTGTGATCATAGCTCACTGCAGCCTCAGCCTCCTGGGTTCAAGCGATCCTCCTTCCTCAGCCTCCCGAGTAGCTGGGACTACAGGCATGTGCCACCACACCTGGCTAATTTTTTTATTTTTTGTATAGACGGGGTCTCACTATGTTGCTCAGGCTGGTCTCTAAACTCCTGGGCTCAAGTGATCCTCTTGCCCCGGCCTCCCAAAGTGCTGGGATTACAGGTGTGAGCCACTTTGCCTGGCTGTTTTTGTCATTTTTTAAGCCACCCAGGCTGTGATACCTGGTGATGGTGGGAGTCCTCCTGACCTAGGGGAGCTGTTCTGCCACTTCCTTAGCTCCCGGCCCTGTGTTTGGATCAAAGCTCCGTGTCCTGGGGCCCACTCTCTCTTCTCTGTGAAAGAACCACCTGGTGCATTTTCACAGGGCTTTTCTGGGGACAGAACCTTGGCTCAGTTTTCCCTGAGGACCCAGGAGGGGGTCTGCCAGAGGAGGGGAGTGGGAGGAAGAAGCTTGTTTGATTCAGTAAAAAGCCAAATGGAACTTGTCCGTCTGTGCATGGATGGAAGATGTGGATTGACGGACGGATGGATGGAGGATCACCCGCAGGGGGCGACCCAGATCGGCTCGAGGTTTCGCTGGGAATTGTTTCATGCCGATGCAGTCACCCTGACACTCAAGGTCACAGGCTGGGTTTGTGGGCAAGTTCTGAGCATGGGCTGTGGCCAGGGACCTTCGGAAGGGTCTCTGCGCAGAGGACCTCTCCTCCCAGAATTTCTACCGAGCAAACACCCGGCTGGGCATACTTTGTAAATGTGATTGGTTTAGGCGGTGAGATTGCTGCAACGCCGTGGCAGGGACACTGGTTGTCCTCTGGTGGCTTGAGCTCCCCCTAACTCCCACACTTACTTAGAGTCAACCTGGGAGCCTGGCGACAGCCCGGCATCTGGGCCGGAGGACACCTCGCCCGATTTCTTCTTCTGGACGGCTGGCTTCTTCGAGCTGGGCTCCCTGTCAGTGGCTTCTGCTGCGGGCTGCGAGAGGACGGTGCAGGGAGGGCGGGGTAAGCAAAGGCAGGAAGCGAGGGATGGGGGTCCCTAAGGTCACTGTGCACTCCATCCACCATCACTTCTCTCTTAAGTGCCCCTCTGGGCAGAGCCTGGGTGGCCGGGGCAGAAGTGAGCTTGGACCCTGGGGGACGAGAGCTACAACTTGCAGTTTTACCTGAGCCTTGGCTGGGGACGGGAGGAGCTTGGAGACATCACTCGTGGATAAGGAGATGCGCCTTTCCCTGTGAGAGCACAGAAACATGGCTCTTACCGATGAGACTGAGTAGGCGGTGTTCTCTCGCCTTAGTGTAGGGGGTCTCAGGTTGTCACTTGGGTGATTCTGCCCCCCAGGGGACACTTGGCAATGTCTAGAGACACTTTTAACCAAAAGTGGTCACCACTAGTGGGGTGGAGGCCAGGGATGGATGCTGCTTAACATCCTACACAGTACTCCAGCGCAGATGTTGACAGTACAGAGGGTAAGAAACCCTGCCCCAGTAAGAGAGACCCTGTCTGTCCACTCATCCATAGACCCTCTATCCACCTTCCATCTGTCCATCCACCCACCCACCCATCCCTCCCTCTTCCGCCCATCCACCCATCCCTATCTTCTACCCACCCATCCATTGCTATCTTCCACCGACCCATTGATCCCTATCTTCTACCAACCCATCCATCCCTCTTCTACCCACCGATCCACCCCTATCTTCTACCCACCGATCCATCCCTCTTCCACCCACCCATCTATCCCTATCTTCTACCCACCTATCCAACCCTCTTCTACCAACCCACCCATCCCTATCTTCTACCCACCCACCCATCCCTATCTTCCACCCACCCATCCATCCCTATCTTGCACCCACCCATCCATCCCTATCTTCTACCCACCCATCCATCCCTATCTTCTACCCACCCATCCATCCCTATCTTCTACCCACCCATCCATCCCTCTTCCACCCATCCATCCCTATCTTCTTTCTACCCACCCATCCATCTCTCTTCCACCCACCCATCCATCCTTATCCTCTACCTACCCATCCATCCCTCTTCTACCCACCCATCCATCCCTCTTCCACCCATCCATCCATCCCTATTTTCTAGCCACCCATCCATCTCCCTTCCACCCACCCATCCATCCCTATCTTCTAACCACCCATCCATCCCTCTTCCACCCACCCATCTATCCCTATCTTCTATCCACCCATCCATCCCTATCTTCTATCCAACCCACCCATCCATCCCTCTTCCACCCACCCATCGATCCATCATCTCTTCCATCCATCCATCAGGTCTATTTTCCTTCCACCCATTTGTCCATCTTTCATCCACTCACCCACCCATCTCTATCCCTCTCTTCCTTCTATCCATCCATCCACCACGTCTGTAACGTTCCTGGCATCTGGTGGGCAGAGGCCAGGGACGCTGTTCAGCATCCTACAGCACGCGGGACAGCCCCCAACCCAGGGAACAATCTGGCCCCAGCGTCAGCGGTGCTGCGCTGCACAGCCCACTGCAGTGGAAGACCTGTCTCTTCCCCAGTGCTGCTTTCATCTGGCCGTAGGCGCTCTGGAAGAGGGGGCTGCAGATACGTGTCCTGACACTTGGCTTACCAAGAACAGGGCAGAGCGAGCCCTGCCCCTCTCAGGCTGGGGGAGTGTAATCAGCCCTGTTCACGGATGAGCACAGAGGCCCAGGTGGGCTCGTGAGTGGGACTCGGCCTGAGGGGCTGCCTCCCACAAGGCCGGGGCTTTCTGGTGAGCACAGCTCAGGGCCCCAGCCCAGGCCCCAGCTAGGTGCCCCTGGGCAGGTGCCTCATTTTCCCTGAGCCCTTTGCCTGTCCTCTTGGTCCTCCTCAGGGCTGCTACGTAGCTGCCGGGCACAACTGCTCACGTGTTTTGGGGATGTGTGGCGCTGCCCCTGCCCGCCTCACCTAGGACATGGTGCTCAGAGGAGGGGGCAGTGCTTACTCTGTGGGTGTGAGGGTGGCCCCCACGGCTCGGTGCCTCTCACTGAGGTCCAGGGACTGGCTAAGCATGGTGCCACTGCCAGTGGTGGTGGCAGCCAACAGCTTCTTGCTGCGCCACAGTTCCACAGCGTGGGCGAGCCGCTCGGCGTCCGGACACCGCTGGATCTGGGTGGAACCTCCGGGGCTCTCGGACTTGTCCTGAGCTCTTGGGCTGTCGCATAGTTTGCTCTCGTCCTTGGGGGTCTCCGGGGTGCTGCCGGGGGCTGGCGGGCCCACCCTACTGTCTAGGGCTAGGCTGGTCGGCCGTTCCATGCGGCCAGGCCTTAGGTTCCCACTCTCGGGAGCCTTCTCGGTTTCTGGGGAGACCCCGCTGACTGGTGTAGCCTGGGGTCTCTCCACAGGCTGCTTTCGAGAATCATCCTCAGTCTCTGCCTCTGCATCTGGAGGACTTTCATCTTCTCTGCTCTCCTTTTTGTCTTCCGGGAGGCCCTCCCCTTGCTCCTGGATGGCCCTTCCAGAAGGTTCTCTGAGAGCACTGTCTTCCTTACAGGACTGGATGTGCTTGTTCTGGAGCTTCACATGCTCCAGTCCCCTTTGGCGACGAGACTCTCGCTTCTCCCGGCTGCTGGTGACTTTCTCATGATTTTCGGCCGTCACGTTCTTCTGGGACGGGAGAGCCTTCGCTAGACTCAGGGCCTCCTTGTCCGGTGTGGACTGCTCTGCTGGGGACCCATCGCTCGGCAAGGCCTGCGACTCCAACAGTGGGTGCCAGCTGTCCTCCAAGGGCTCCGGGGCCTGCTCGGCCGCCAGCTCCCTGACAGGGGCCTGGCCTGGCCTGGCCTCCTCGGCCTCTGCTGTCACGGCTTGCTGGGCCTCCCTCTCCTCTTCTGCCTCCTGCTTCTCCGAGACCATCTGGCTGAAGCTGTGTGAGGAGAAAGTAAAAGGGCCGGCTCAGAAATAAATGTTCACTCCACCCGCAGCAGCGACCCAGCGGCTTCTGGTGGGACCCCCACCCAGGTGCCCAGGGGCTGCGGGCTGGGCTCCCCCTCTGCCTAGTCACCCTTAGAAATGCTTCTGGAAAGCCGGAACCTCTTCAACCAGAACGGTAGTGCCCCCTTGTCATGGACACCCCTGCCCTGGGTCTGCCTGGCTTCTCGCGGAATGAGAAGACCCTTGTTGGGTCTGTGGCGCTGGGTTCTGTTAAGAAACCCCTGAATTCCTTTGGGGTCTGCTCAGGACTCCCCCTTGAGCTCCTTATTTACAAGGCTTTTACACGCATGGGCAGTGTCCGAAAGGGACTTCTGCCCGGCACCTGGGACCCTGACTTGCGGCAGAGGGCTGGGTCCGTGGTGGTGGTCAGGGGGAAGGGACCCACACAGTGCCGAGGCCGGGGAGGGGCTGGCTCTGAGCCATGGGCGCCAGCGTGGCAGCAGGAGCTGCTGATGTCCTCCTGGTGGGGTGGCTGGTGCCTTTGTGGCTGTGGACGCCTAAGCTCTGAGTGTGGGGGAGGGGAGCCTGCTTTGGGCGGGTCTGGGGGCCCCTTCTTCAACCCTGAATCCAGGTGTTCCACTGACCGGCTCGGAGTGGCCAGGTGCAGGGAGTCCCTGGCGGATGCTGAGTGTGGCCAGTAGTAACACAGGCCTGTGTCCCTAAGTGCTGCCTGCTGGTACCCGGAGTATCTGTCCGGAGCCCACGTGTGCCCAGACAGCCCTTCTTGTGTCCGGAATGACATTCCCGTAGTTTCAATGGCCAGAAGATTATCTTGGGCAGCTCTTTGGTAAGTGAACTTTCAGATTCTGGAACGTTCCGGGGAGTGCCACCCTACTCTGCTCACCTCTTGCGCTGCAGGTGGCCCCGGCAGAGGCTCTGCAGGCGGATGATGCTCTGTCTCTGGCGCCTGTAGGCCAGCCGCTGGCGGTAGCCCCTCCACATGGCCTGGAGGTACATGGCGGCCTGCGTCCTCTCCAGCGCCCGCCGGACCCGGTAGGACCGCCAGTGCGCTTGGACGGCGACCGCCGCACGCTTCATCTGCAGGAAGCGCCGCCGGTCCAGCGCCATCCGGAACCAGCTCTGCAGGAGCAGGATCTTCCGCACGACCTCCCGGTGCAGCGTCTCCTGCAGGGCCTGCCGCTCCGTCTCCTTCAGGAAGACCTGGCGGGGACACGGTCAGGTGGGGTCAGCCCTGCCACCCCGCACAGCACCTCTGTGCTCGGGGGTCTGCGCAGTCACTGCCGGGAGTGAAACCCGGGCTGGTGCGGTGACCGACCGGGCTCCATCAAAAAAGAAAACACGACTGACGTAGAACTGACGTGGCATCCAATTCGCCATTTTAAAGTGAAAAATCAGTGGCATTTAGTACATTCACAGTGTAGTGTGGCCAGCTCCTCTATCCAGTTCCAGAACATTCTCATCACCCTAAAAGGAGACCCCTCCCCATCAGTAGTCACTTCCCATTCCCCTCCCCTGGTCCTGGGCAACCACCGATCTGCTTCCTGTCATTATGGATTTGCCTGTTCTGGACATTTCTTTTTTTTTTTAAGGGGTAAGGGATTGTGAGGAGGGGTGTTCAGTCGTCTTTTTTTTTTTTTTTTTTTTTGAGACACAGTCTCACTCTTTTGCCCGGGCTAGAGTGAGTGCCGTGGCGTCAGCCTAGCTCACAACAACCTCAAACTCCTGGGCTCAGGTGATCCTTCTGCCTCAGCCTCCCGAGTAGCTGGGACTACAGGCATGTGCCACCATGCCCGGCTAATTTTTTCTATATATATTTTCAGTTGTCCGATTAATTTCTTTCTAATTTTTATTAGTAGAGGCGGGGTCTCGCTCTTGCTCAGGCTGGTCTCGAACTCCTGAGCTCAAACGATCCGCCCGCCTCAGCCTCCCAGAGTGCTAGGATTACAGGCGTGAGCCACCGCGCCCGGCCCAGTCGTCTTGTTTTTTATGTTGCAGAGAGAGAGTCTCACTCCGTCACCCTGGATAGAGTGCAGTGGTGTCATCGTAGCTCACTGCAGCCTCCAACTCCTGGACTTGAGCGATCCTCCTGCCTCAGCCTCCCGAGTAGCTGGGATTGCAGGTGGAGCCACCACATCCGGCCCTGTTCTGGACATTTCATATCAATGGAATTGTGCAACATGTGGCCTTGGGTGTCGGTTTCTCTCACTCAGCGTCATGTCTGTTTCCGAGGTTCACCCGTGTGGCAGCAGGTGCCAGTGCTCCCTGCCTTGCCATGGCTGCTACTATTCTGTTGCACGGACAGAGCACGTTTTGCTTGTCCAGCCGCTTACTGATGGACTTGGGGTAGTTTCCGCCTTTCGGCTACTGCGAGTATTTCTGCTGTGCACACCGGTGTGCAGTGTTCACGGGAACGCCTGTCCTCAGTTCTCCCGGGCACATACTCAGGAGCAGAGCTGCTGGGTCACGTGGTAATTCTATGATTAACGTGCTGAGTGACTGTAAGGGGAGTTTTTACATCAGGTGAGGCCTTCGTGGGAAGGTGACCTCAGCACTTGTTTTATACACAAGCGCAGCCCGAGTGGTACCCCAAGAACAAGAGGCAACCGACACCCGCCCAGATATCGGAGACGACTTCTGAAAGGGGAGCCCAGCGGAGCGGAGCAGACCAGACGTTACCACAGTGACCGACCACCCCTAGAGCCAGCAGGTCAGCACAAGTGTCCCTGCTCTACCTCTGAGGCAGACAGGTGATGCTCAGGTCTTCCAGCCCTGCTTAACAGCAAGTGGGGACTCAGCCAGGCAGCCCCTGCCCCTTAGGTGCACGCTGTGCCTTCCGGAAAGGAGGCAAGTGCGGGGTGCTGACAACTGCATTTCCTCAGCAGAACCCCCCCCCCGCCTTTTTTTTTGAGACAGAGTCTCACTCTGTTGCCCAGGATACAGTGCCGTGGCGTCAGCCTAGCTCACAGCAACCTCAAACTCCTGGGCTCAAGCGATCCTCCTGCCTCAGCCTCCCGAGTAGCTAGGACTACAGGCACGCGCCACCATGCCCAGCTAATTTTTTCTATATATGTTTTTAGTTGTCCAGGTAATTTTTTAGTACTTTTAGTAGAGACGGGGTCTTGCTCTTGCTCAGGCTGGTCTCGAACTCCTAACCTTGAGCGATCCACCCGCCTCAGCTCCCCGAGTGCTAGGATTACAGGCGTGAGCCACTGCGCCCAGCCAGAACCCCTTGTTTTTCAGGTCGTGGTGCAGAGCCTCTGGGGACGGGGAGGACCTTACACGTGGTGCGAGGTGGGTGGAGTGTGCAGCCCCCCGAGGGGCGGCAGCGCTGACCTTGGTCTTCCCGATCTGGTAGTTCCTCTTGTCCACACCCATCTTCTCCAGCAAGGCGGAGATGACCTCCCTGCAGGGCCGCGCGCTCTTGGGCAGCAGCACCTGGAACTGCTCTGTGAAATCCTAGGGGATTATGGCCAAGAAAGGAGAAGCTGGGTGAGTATTCCCACCAGCGACAGGAAACGGGGCCCTGGCAATTTCCTGGTCAAACTTAAATTGGGTTTGATGGGAACAGTACTAGTGAATCTAGAATTTTGGGCTTTCAGAAAGAGTCTGAATCTTTTTTCTTTTTTGAGACAGAGTCTCGCTCTGTTGCCTGGATGGGTGCAGTGGCGTCATCACAGCTCACTGCAACCTCCAACTCCTGAGCTCAAGTGACCCTCCCGCCTTGGCCTCCTGGAGTGCTGGGATTACAGGGTGAGACACTGTGCCCGGCCTTGAACCTTAAGGCAGACCATGGCGGACGTGGATCTTTCGGTCAGTCTGGGTGGCTGGGAGACAGGGCTGTCCTCAGGGTGGGGCTCACAGTCTAGGGCTGGCTAGGGAGCACAGGTGGGCCAACATGCCTTTTAGGCGAACAGTTATTTCAAATATTTAGAGGCCAAGCATTGGTAAAACATACCAGCACTTCCCCATTTTTTTTAAAAAAATAATTTTGCTGTTTCCATCTGCACAGGATGAGAAAGACATTATTTCCATTCTGTGGACGAGAGAAGAGAGGTATGCCACAACTTAGCCCCCAAGGCCACACGGGTAAAGCAGAATGGGAACAAGGTGCTGCCACCTCTGGCTTTGGGTTCAGGGCGACACAGGTGCCAGCTTGTGGCATGAGGGTTGTCAACCAGGCTATGCTCACCACTGGGGATATGCAGGGATGTCGGCAGCCGTGTTGGGTTTTCACAACTGGGGGATCTGGGGGGCTCCTGGCATCCAGTGGGTGGAGGCCGGAGATGCTGCTCAACACCCTACAATGCACACACGGCCCCCCTGCAAAGAATTATGTCGCCCAAAACATCAGTGGTGCTGCCTTTGAGAAACTTTGCCCTAGAGATTTTGTCTTCACCAGTTCTGGTTACTAATGGTCCCTCACATTTCTAGAAAGTCCAAGGAGCCACCTCTGAAGTCATCACCTGCCTGGGCCTCTCTTTCTGTGGGGGAAAGCACGAATAAGAACCCTCTTGCCAGTGGCTGGAGAGTAAGAGAGTTGGGTATAAAACCGGCGACGACAAGAGATGCTCAGTCAAGGGCTCTGAAGGTATCTGCTCGCGCAATCCCCTCTCCTGCCTTAGCGGGACACTTGGTATCTTTCCCGGTTTGGCAGGGGGCCAGCCACCTCTGCTGAGGAAACTTAAGCCCTGTGGCAGAGAGTGATCTGGTCCAAATGCCGACAGTGCTGCCAGGGAGAAGCCCTGCTGTAAGACAACCGGGGATTTATGCTCCAAAGAGGCCGTCTCTCTGGAAGAGGGAGGTGGCTGAGCTGGCCCTCTGCCACATCACGGTGGCCGCCTGTGTGTGCACGAGGCCTACCTGGAACGTGTACTTGGCGCTGTAGCCAGACCTCCGGATGCGCACGGTTTCCAGCATGCCCGTGTAGCGTAGCTGCTGCAGAACCAGCTCGTCGTTGAAGCACAGCTCTTTCTGAAACGGGCACGTGAGTGATCAGGGCGGGTACCTCTGGCGTGATGTGACGCCCGAGCCCGTTGGTGGCTCGGGACTGGGAACTGTGCCACGAGGGCAGGTTCCCATGCAGGTGCCATCGCTTGGGATTGTGGACACAGACAGGGTGAGGGTGCACGTGTGGGTGCCGGCTGGCCAGCTTAGGAACATCCCCCAGCACCGCAGCGGGAAGCATCTGGACAATTAGTCTTTCCCTGCTACAGATGTTCTTTTTGGAATGAGGAGATGGACCACTCAGCAGCAGTGCTCAAGGTGTTTGATTCTTCTAGAAAACTTGGGTGTCTGACCTGTTCTATTCCCTGGTGTCCTGGAGATGGGTGCTACCTCTTGCTGCCAAACTTGGATACTTTGCTGCAAAGAGTTCTTTTATAAAAACGACCCAAATGCAAACCTGTACTGGGCTTGTACTCTGTGCTGGCACCAGGGTAAGTGCCAGGGATTTGATGGGGGCAGGCATCTCAGTCTAGGGCTGAAAGCCAGACACGTGTGACAAAGTGGACACTGCCTGGGTCCCAGTGGGCGGTGTCCCAGGAGAGAGGGGATGCTGGGCCAACTCCTGAGGAAAGGACGGCAGGGGGCAGCCGGGTGAAGCCCCAGGGGTCTGGAATTCGCCCTGGTGGGCAGTGAGTGAGGACGGATAGTGCTATTTTAAGGGCAAACAGGAGGGAACAGCACGAGGAGGGTGGTCACGACTAGGTTGTAGGTGGCCAGGGACACTGCTCGACACCCGACAGCACGCAGGATGGCCCTGGATACAGAGAATGATCTAGTGCAGCCCAAGCCCAGAGTGGGTGCCAATGGAGCATTTCCCAAGACACAGTCTCCAGGAGGCTTCTGTGCCCATCACCCATGCCCGTGAGGGGCCCCAGAATGCTGGCTGCCCCCCGGCAAAGTCCTCAAGCTGCCCTCCCAGGGACAGAGTGACCTCTGGGGCTGAGCAAGGGCTGAGCCTGGGGCCCTGACTGGTGCTCCCGGAGTCTTTCTAGAAACTTCCCTACAAGCAGTGGGCTGTATGCTCCTTCAAGACTCGCCTGCTGTAGGACCTCTGACCTTCTCTTTTGGTACATTCTATGCACTGGCTGCTCTTGGGGTATATCTGAAGAGCACCCTTGACCTGTCCCTTCCTGAACAAACCTTCTCTGGGGCCCCGCTACGTTCCCGGCAACATCCCTACTCTTGGCTGGCCACCTGAGCCACCCTCACTGCCTCCTGCTGAACCCGCCCCAGCTGGCCTCCCCATGGTGACACCTGGATCCTCGAAGCCTTTCCTGGCCCCCCTGAGTTGGCTGTGGGCCCATCCTCTGTGGAGCCTGCTGGGTGCAGGAACACCCTGGAGGGCTGGCGTGGGCTGTGCCTCCGTGACATTAGAGAGCCACTCACCTTCTCGGCGTTGGAGCGGATGCAGCGGATGAAGAAGGGCTCTGCCTTCCCCAGCGCCTCCAAGAGCTTGTTAAGAGATGTCTGGGAGGAGAAAGAATGTTCGCGCTGAGCGGGGGTTGCCAGGAGCATGCAGCTCAGCAGGAGAGGACCTGGGTCACCCACCAGCCCCAAGGGGGAGTGGACGGGGTCCCAGGCGGTGGGACACGGGAGGCAGCAGCTGGATGTTCTGACTGGTGGCTGCACGACCCCTGGAAGCCCTTAAGGGAGTTATGGGGTCCCCATAGCTCCAGGGCCTCCAGTTCTCATTCTTGCCTCAGGTGGAAGGTGGCGGGCGGGGGGCGGGGAGGGAGGACCAGATAAACACCTTCTGGAGATTAAAACACGAGTCAGACTGAGACGGGGCTGTGATGCAGTGGCTTTGACCTCTGGCCTGCATTTTGTTTTCTTTTTCAGACAGGATCTTGCTCTGTTGCCCGGGCTAGAGTGCCGTGGCGTCAGCCTAGCTCACTGCAACCTCAAACTCCTGGGCTCAAGGGATTCTCTTGCCTCAGCCTCCCAAGTAGTTGGGACTAACGGTGTGCACCACCATGCCTGGCTAATTTTTCTATTTTTAGTAGAGACGAGGTCTCGCTCTTGCTCAGGATGGTCTCGAACTCCTGGCCTCAAGTGATCCTCCCGCCTCAGCATCCCAAAGTACCAGGATGACAGGCGTGAGCCATCGCACCTGGCCTCTGGCCTGCTTTTTCCAGAATGATTTGTTGAAGCTCCCCATAAGGTAATGGCCAAAAAACCCAAGGTGGGAACAGAAGACTCAGATTGAGGAAAGAGGGAAAAAACAAAAATGCTAACTGGGAGGGCTGGCAGCTGGTGGACCCCCTAAATAAAAATAAATAAAATGTGTCCCTGAGCTTCCTGGCAGCCAGGGAAAAAAGGCAAACATGACCTAAGGACATGGCTCAGTGGTCATGCTAACTAACATGCTAACACATGATTCTTTTAACTCAGTGCTTCTCAACCAGGGGTGATTTTGCTCCCCAGGGGGCATCTGACAACCGTGGCCAAGTTGGGTGTTGCAACTGGGGGCACAGGGGTTGGTGGTGGCAGAGGTGGTATGGTACTACCGGCGTTTAGGGGCCAAGGCCAGAGATTGTGCTAAATACCCTGTAGTGCACAGACAGTCCTCATCACAGAGAACGATCTGACCCCCACATGCGCGTAGTGTCGAAGTGGAGAACCCCGGTAGTAGCCGACGAGTTGCCAGCGCTGGGTCTTAGCCGAGTGACAAGAGCGCCAGGCTGAGCTCGGCGCTGTGCGCCTCCCGAGCCCGCCTACCTGGAACTGGGCGCTGATGCTCGGCGGCTTCTTCTTCTTGTGCAGGTGCAGCAGGGACTTGGTGGTTCGGTCGTGCAGAGTCATGCTGATGATCAGTTTCAGGGACTTGGAGTCCAGCAGGTTCTAGGACAGACACACGGGGTCCGGCCTGCCCTCCCGCAGCCCATACACGGGCACCGGGAGGCACTGCAGACGTCCCCGGAGCCAGGGGGGGCGATGCCCCCTTGGCGAGTGCCAGAGTGGCAGCTCTTAGGTAGAGTCTGAGGACCACACTGCTGGTGGGCCTGGCGGCCCGAGCCTGGCTTGCACACCGCATAAGACACTGGCTCCGGGAGGACTGGCGACAGCTTCTGACGGCCTGAGTGCCGGTCCTGTTTCCTCCTCCTCTGGGTGAGGGGAGGAAGCCAGTTCACCAAGCCTGGCTGTCCCTGTGCATTGCTTATGTTACTCAAGCCAAGGACTGCCAAGTCTTGTCTGTGTCTTCCACGTGAGCTCACTGGGCGGGCCCGCCCCCATATGCCAACCAGTTCTATCAGCTGGCAAGAGGAACTAGCCTTGTCCCATCTGCTGACTAAACTGAGAGGTTGTCCTCACTCTTTTGCAAACTTCCTAAGCCTCAGCACACTATGCATGGAAACTCTGTCCTGTCCTGCCCTCTGTAGGTGGCTCATAGCCAGGGACTGACCCGTGTAGGGATAAACAGAAGGGTTCCTTTGCCTCTGGGCAGGACAAACTCTGGGGTGCCATTAACCCTCCAGAGCTCCCGGCGGGATCAGGCTGAGGTTGAGCCGAGCCCGCATCCTTGCCTGGCTTCGGCTTTCACCCTCCTCCGCTTTCTCGAGAGCCCCCTCAATGCGCTGTCTTTTGTGCAAATGTCCCCGTCTCGGGCCCTGCTTCTGGGACACCCAAACAGAGACAGCTCCAAATCATTTCAACATATTACGTTTTTCTTTCTGGAGGGAGGGGGAGACAGTGGGAAGAAGAAGGAATGAGCAGCAGCTGCAGATGCTAAAAGTGAGGCTCCCTCCAAGCCTGCCCACCCCACCCCACCCCACTTTCTGAGCAACGACTCAAGTTGCCAGGTGCTCTCAAGATGGGCAAAGCAGCAAGGCATCTTTGAAAGTGACGCGCGGGTGTTTGTTTCTTTTTACCTTTGGAATGATCTGCTTTTGTTTGATACCTTTACTTTTCCTGTCAAAATATTAAAAATGGTTTGGTGAACAAAAGGAACACAGCGTCTGGATTGGGGTTAGTTCAGCAAGCCACGCCTGTGGGTTAGACTGAGAAAGAGAAAGAGAAAGAGTGAGGGGACAGGAACAAGTGCAACGAGGCTGCTGCCACTGCCTGTCTGGAGACCCAGCAAGCTGCGGCAGCCGTGCCCACCGCCAGCTTCCCCGGGCCAGTGGCAGCTGGACTTTGCTGGTGGCTGCTCCTAAGCCGACAAGAGCTTTTGGTCTGGGGGCCATTTGGATGTCTGAGGAGGAGGAGTGGTTGGCTAGTAACCTACAGGGTGGAAGACGCTACGGAGGAACTCACGTATCTCAAAAAATCATGGCCCTGACTACAGAACGGGAGAAAATATTTGCTCTCCACGCATCTGATAAAGGGCTGATAACAAGAATCTATCTAGAACTTGAAAAAAACAAGAAAAAAATCAATAAATGCGCAAAGGAAATGAACAGAAACTTTTCAAAAGAAGACAGAATAATGGCCAGCAAACATATAAAAAAATGCTCAACATCTCTAATCATTAGAGA